TTTAAATTTGTTTGTTTTTAATTTTATATTAAAAATAATAATTTCTTAATAAATAATATATAATATATATTTTTAAACATGGGGGAATTTATGAGGAATGAGAAATTTTTTTTCAAGTCCTAAATATTATATTATATATTAAAGACAAAATCATCAAATCCATCTCTCAAATAGGGTGGTAAGGACAAATCCATCTCTAGAAAAATGTAGGAAGAAATTACCGTTTTAAATTATAAATTGAGACAAATTTCTTATTTTTTAATGTGTGAAATCAACTTTCCATTAAAAATGCTTATGTGGCATATAAGATTTTAACGTCATACATTAAAAAATAAAAAATTTGTTTCGATTTATAATTTAAAAGAATAATTTATCTCTTTATATTTTTGAGGGGAGAATCTGTTCTTACCTCTTATTTGAGGGATGAATTTAAGGATTTTGCCATATATTAAATTATATGATGTAACAATCATTATATATATATATATATATCCTTCATGAACCATTAAGCAAGTTAGAAATGACAACCTTAACAAGATTTTCCGGCAACGCGGCTAATACAGATATTTTTATCTTCAAGTTTTTTCCTGTATGTTAATTGGTTTGGTCCTGCAGTTTATACCAAACCCAAAATATTCTCTTCATTTCTTTAAAGAGAAACAGCACCCACAGTATCCCGATATTCCGCGACTTGCTTTGTCTACATCACTGATACTTCTTCCTTTTCTTAACAAAATTTTACAATAGCATACATAACATTTTGTTGTCGTGTGGTTACGTATACATGGAAAATAAATTTCTCCAAAGAAAAGTATTCTGTTTTTTTCGATGTTTAAAGAGTATATTTGGTTGAAGTTATGCCATTTATCATCAAAATATAAAATTAAGTTAAATTAAATCAATATAAAATGCCTGATTTGATTTTGAGACTTCGTATCGTTTCCAGACATTGTTAGAGTTAGCTCGATAACACATGTTTTTGTATAGTACTAACTCGGATTTTATGTGTACTAAGAAAAAATTGATGGATGAAATTGAAGCCGTGGACCAGGACCTATAAATTAGGCCTAAGGATGAAGGGACCATGAAGGGAACATCTATCAATTTACTCGTTAGTAGAAGGAAAAAGGACATAGATGTCGTTATCGATGGTCCTGCACCTCTTGTTTAGACATGGACAGACTCTGCGTGTAATTGAAAAAATGGGTCATGAAATTTGCAATAATTGTCATTGATATGGTGATTGTGTTTTGTGAATGTAAGACTCTGAGTTTCATTTTCAATGGGGTTGTTTTCTAGCAAGGGTCCCCTCCCCCACCTCCTAATACAATCCAAAATCTTGCCCTGATCCAGACCCACCTCTTCAATAATTCAACTCACATTCTGATTTTTGTTTTATTTGTTCACATTTTTGTTAAATCTTTAAAAATTCACTTTTGCCCTTTTGGGCACGGTAAGAACACCCCCGGCAGCATCTACTATTCTTGTGAATGAATATGTTTCGTATAATTTATGATGAATGTAAAATGTTTTGAAATGGAAAGAATGATAGATGCATTCGATTTTGTTTTTGGATAGAAAAGAAGTTAATGAGTTATCAGATGTTATGGAGTATGAAAAAGCAGATAGTGTGGACAAGAGAGAACGTGAGGAGAATGCAGACATTGCCTTTTCAGAGTGTGTGTGTTTTATTATTATTATTATTATTATTATTATTATTTCATATTTTACCTTTCAAGTAATTTTTTTAATTACTCCACCGGTGAGGTTGAAGTTTATTACTAATTTAGCAAGTAATAACT